TGGAGTCGACTGACTGTTTGTCCAAAGCAGCAACTATCTGTACGTGTATGATGGAAAAACTGAGGGAACCTATCTATTTATAAAGTAAAATCAAAATACATGATAGTATATTGTGCGATTGTTTTTGTGTGTGTGTTGTGTGTGTGCGTGAGAGAGAGAGAGAGGGAGAGAGAGAGAGACAGAGACAGAGACAGAGAGAGAGCACAGAATATGCAACTTGTCGGTGCCTGTCATGTGAGATATCTACCATTTTCTGAGACCATCTTCTTCTTATACACATTTGTTTAAGTCATTAATCTAATGTGTTTGTTGACAAGTGTTGAAAGTGCTGTAAAGCTCTTACAGTACAAACTTCATGAGTGTACTATCATACTGCTCTTTGAATGTAGAAATGTATGACCGAATCAATTGTAGTTTACAAATCAGGGTTAAAAAGACCTTCTTGAGGGTTCAATTGAAGTGAAGATGCTTATCTTATTATCTTAGTTTGATATCAGCTTCTCTCGATTCAACGAAAAATATACAGTATTATTGGGGTTAGAGATGGAAAATTTGAAAGGAAGTCATAGCTGAAAAAGTTTTTATTCTTAAATCACAATTTGTGACAAAGTGTGATTTAATTAGATACTAGGTTTTTAGAATTGAGATGGCTGTACAAGTATAAGACTACGACTCTTAACTGTTGTATGTGTGACTGTCTGTGTGTGTGTGGAGACTGTGTGTGTGTGTGTTTGTTTGTGTGACTGTGAGTGTGAGACAGTGTGTATGACTCTGTGTGTGTGTGTGTGTGTGTGTGTGTGTGTGTGTGTGTGTGTGTGACTGTGTATATGTGGGACTGTGTGTGTGACTGTGGGATGTGTGCAACTGTATGTGTGTGTGACTGTGTGTGTGACAGTGTGTGTGACAGTATGTATGTATACGAGTGACTGTGTGTGTATGTCTGTGTGTGTGTGTGTGTGTGTGTGTGTGTGTGTCTGGCTGAGTTACCAGATCAGATGATGAAGTTTCAACTTTTTGTTACATCTGACCCCTTTGCTGCCAAGTATTCATTTTTCCAATTGTATTTTAGACTTGTTTTATTTTTGTTGCATTTCTTGTACCCGTCTCTAACTATTGCCATCGCATCGACGACATGGACCAAAATAAATCCTCTACAGTACCCAGAACTCTTTGTTGATTTGTTTCTTTGTTAGTAATAATAATAATAGATAGCTTTGTATAGCACAAATTTCTGCGCAACGTCAAGCTGTATGTAATCTTAACAATTTATTTTCCAACCCCAGCAGACCTGGTAGCTTTCAGAAGCAAACTCAACATCCTGGGACGCATATAAAAATATTTAATTTACAGTCGCTAAAACACTAACATACTGACAAGATCTTTCACTGTCTAAGGCCGGGTGCTCATTCCTACCTGACTGAAATGAGAAAAATTCTAACGAAGTGCCTTTCCCGAGGACACACTGTCAGGCCCTTGGATTGAAGTTCTTGAACCCCCGAACCCGCAACATCACGATTACTACAAGTCCTCACATACACGCATCTTGGTTCTGAACATGCTGTGTACAGTATCACTCGTGGTGGGCATATCGAAATCGATATATATATCGATATTTTTACACATCGATATCATATCGAAGAAGTGAGAAAAATATTGATATTTCGATATTGTGATATGCCCACCACTCAGCAACGTATTTCCAGGAATTAGCAGACTGATTTTGTGTTTCCCCCTCACAACAAAACGCACAAAAAAAGTTTTTAAAAAAAAGAAACCACCGTGTTTCGCGCGTCCATATTTTCAATCGATCAGACTCGATAATTATATCGATATATTAGATTGCGAATTTCAATTTATCGATAATAATTTTGAAATATAGAAAAATATCGATATACCAATATTTCTGGTGAAAAAAATACCGATATCGTATCGAATTCGATATTGCTCATATTATCGTCCATCTGTAAGTATTACTACGAGTGATGGATTGCTATTGACATACCTTACACGTAGGCCTACAGGTTCTGTACAATATCGCAAATCTCTTTGCGTCCTCGACAACTTTGTTTTGCAATGAACGCAATGTGGTGGGTGGTTGGCGGGTGCTCTGGTGTGGTTTGCCCCTTCTTTTCTATCGCACATCTGTCATCCTCATCTTTCCTCCTTCTTTTCATCCTATGTTACTCTCTAGTAAAAACCTTAAATTTTCAGTGCTTATAAGAATCTTACTAATACTAGAATCTAAAACAAAACAAAAAATTCAAAGCAAAGTGTATATGAAAGAATATTTACCATAACACGTACTGTGCGAAAAAAAACGTGCAAAATTTTAATTCATATGTAAAAACAGAAAAAAATTTTGATTCATAAAATACATGATGCAGACACGGTGAGATCAAACTCATGACCTGATCTGAAGAACTTCAGTGTCAGAATCAGACTATAACTGTAAGGGGAGAAAATAAAACAAAACATTTGCCTCCTTTAAATCACAGACATCATAGCACAAACTCTCTTGATATGAATAACACTGAATGGTTTTGATTGGACTGAAATGATCACCCACATTCAGAGCAAAAAATGTCATGCTACTGATAAAAGAAAATATGCTCTTAGTTCTAAGTAGAATCGTAACAGACAGAGTTAGTAACAAAACAGTGTAAGTTGGCTCAGTGAAGTATTGTTGCACCCAATAGCAGTCAGCCTCCAGTTCATGGTCTCGTCTTTACCAGATGAACCAAAAAAACCGTTACACTCACTGGAAAACAGAACTTATGGGAAAGAAAGCCGTGATGTACAGGGATTATAATTTTCCAAATAAGTAGTGTTGATCCAGCTTAAATTACAAATCTTCTACTTTGCTATAAGCACATTTTACTTTGCTATAAAAGCACATTTTACTTTGCTATAAAAGCACATTTTACTTTGCTATAAAAGCACATTTTACTTTGCTATAAGCCCATTTTACAGATCATACATGGGTACAGGTGGTAGGAGAGTATTACTGGTAGGACCTACTTCTTTACTTTCCATCTGTTGTTTCTGTCTGTCTAACTTACTTTTTCCCAGCACTAAATGAACATTATGTGTTGATATGCATCTCTTAACTCAAACGAACAAACAAAACAAAAACATACATTTGTTTTACACCAAGCTGGATTAGGCCAAAATTGTTGCAGTCACTACTCTTACTCACCGAAGGCATCCCAGAAGACAACATTCCTAATTGCTGCACGGTCGACAAACATACTTTGATTTTACATGAGAACTGATGGCAAGAGATGTTGTTATTGTTATTGATCCAGAAAATGGCAAGAACTGGCGTCTGTGTCATAATCTGTCCCCGTCGTTTTATGCAAGAAAAATTCTTAAATTATGCAAACTGAGCCCAAAGATGTGAAATTATGCGATTCTGTTAATTTTAACAAAGAATGATAAAGGAAAATAATAAGAAATTAAGCAAAATATGATCAAATTTTGCTAAATTATGCAGGCGCATAAAACCACGGGGACAGCATAATGGTTATTCTCTTTGTCGCTGCCCACAAAAGACCTGAGTTTGATTTATGGACGTGTGGGGAAGTCAACAGTATTGAGTATTTTTGTTTTTCTGCTAGGATGATGGACCACACACAATTCGGGTTGGCTCTTACAGTAGGGGCGGGGACGAGACGAGAAGCATTACTCGGGACCGGGACCGGTCCCGGCGAGAAGTAGGTCAGCTTCTCGGTCTTCTCGTTCGGGAAGGAAAAAGCGCTTCCCGCCCGTCTCTATCTCACAGTACAGGCAGGTTCAAAGCAACTCACTCTCAAAATTACGTAAATTCTGTCAGTTGGGGCATAAAACATATATGTGAGGCAGCGTGGTGGAATCAGGCTTTCGTCAAAATAATCAAAGTGAAGAAACTTGCATTTTTACACAGGTTTGTGAATTTTTATCAAACTTTTTTTTTGTTGGCTCAACACCTTTCATGCCCATTAAAGAACTCATTTCTGAGTGGATTTTTCTGAAAAACGTTGATCAAAGGCACAAAAAAGTAAATTTTCAGTTACCACGGACTCTTAAGCTAAGGAAATAACTAATCTTAGGCGGCCATTTTCTCACTAATTTTACTTCTCTGAAAACAGGTGACCCCCACCTCCTTCTTTCCCAAATATCTTGATCTGTATTCAAGATAAATGGATATTTTTTTCATCCAAATAAAGACAAGTGAACGAGCTTTAAGGTGACACCAATACCTCTACAAGCCCAAAAATTGACGAGAGCCTGGTTCCACAACTCTGCCTCACATATGTAGTGAAATGAAACCTTAGAGAGACAAGTAACACATACACACTCACCAAGCAGTGCCCCCCTGAGCTAAACTGCTGAAGTATTCAGGATAGGAGGGGTTGTAGCAAAAAATATTCACTGTGGCTTTTGGCATAAAAAGTATGGAATGCGAAAAAGACAGCAAGTCCTTTAACTTTAAGATTGGGAGACTTACTTTGTGGATTCGGTGATGATGTGAGATGTGAGATATACGGTAAAATAGAAACATATTATGTGTCCGTCATATGATTTATTCTCTTTTGTTCCTCCATTTCTTGGAATACAGTCAAATTGTCCAACATGACCACCCATCATTGAGTGTTTTTTTTTTTTTAGAAAGGCGGACATCTCGGAAAGTGTCGCTATAATCTAGAAAAAACACACAAAAGGGGGAAGTGGGAAGTGGTCATATGTACAGGTGATTGTCTTGGACAGGTGGCTGTCAGAGCAAGCTCGTCTGTATTGTACTGTCCACGCAGTTTTATGCAAAAATAATTCTGAAATTATGCAAACTGAGCCGGAAAATGCTAAATTATGCGATTCTGTTAATTTTTTACAAAGAATGATGCAGGAAAATAATAAGAAATTATGTCAAAAAAAAGAAGAAAATTTTGCTAAATTATGCTGGGTGCATAAAACCACGAGGACAGTCATATGTACAGGTGATTGTCTTGGACAGGTGGCAGTCAGAGCAAGTTCATCTGTATTATAGATAAATACTCTTTGGATGAATATTTAAAAACTCAAGCCTTGAGCCAAAAAAGCTACACTACAAGACAGTTCACAGTTCACTCTCTTAAACAGTCCCCCAAAATCCAAACCTATTTTTATAGCTGTCGCCACTGGCGCCGAGAAAACAACCCATTTTGATTTGCTTCTAAAACAGAGTTGCTCTTAGAAAAATTCTATGTATACAAGACGCAACTTTCCCTAAATAGAGTACCAAATGTACATTCATATAGATATGTGAGGACGTCTTTTTTGGTATCTCAAATAGGCCGTGTCCAACAGCCTAGCGCACAACTCTTGCTTGAACTCAGTGATTGGTACGAGTAAGGAAACGTCTACACTTGGAGTGATGTGATTTCCTTCCTCATATTCTCCCTTGCCTGGTCCTCAAAAAGGTCTCCCAGTTCTTTTGAGATAAACAGACGAGGGGAACTAAGCAAGCCTTGGAGAACCTGAGAAATGAAAGGGACGTAATTTGATGAACATCAAGAACAATAACAACAGTAATAGCATGGTGCTACCTAGTGACGACCAGCAGTAGCGTGTTTGTGAAATTGTCTATATTAGTCTGTCCCCGTCGTTTTATGCCAGAAAAATTCTGAAATAATGCAAACTGAGCCCCAAAAAATGAAATTATGTTATTCTGTTAATTTTAATAAAGAATGATAAAGGAAAATAATCAGAAATTAGGCAAAAATGATCAAATTTTGCTAAATTATGCGGGGTACATAAAACAACGAGGACAGATTAGTGTGATATTGTGTGTTTTGAGATGTTGATGAATTTTTGTATTTGTATCAGTGTGTTTTATCCCTTTTGTGATGTTGATGAATCCTTGTGTGTACCAATGAATATAATCCTTGATGTGTTATTGTGCACGATATATTGATGAATTCTTGTATATATCAGTGTATATCATCCGTGATGTGTGATATAGTGCATTACGGTATGTTGATGAATTATTGTAATGACCAGTGTGTAGTATCCCTATCATCGCTGGCCAAATGTCCCCACAGAGACCAATAAAAGGACAATACAATTTTTCTATTTTAGGAGGCACCATAGCAAATACAATACATGATCAGTGACATCAAGGGATGGTAAGAATATCGGTGCAGTGTTGGGAAAAGTAGCCTAATGGAAGACAAAAGAGACAGAGGCAGAGACAGATAAAGAACATCAAACGTAGAGAACTTGAACAAATGGGTGATGAAGAAAAACCAAGATGTAGATGATATGGGTTTATAAAGAGCTTCCCGACAGAGTAATAACTGCTATTTCTGATCTAACACTCGAGAAAGAAAAAGAATGGAAAAAGTGTCATCATAGACATTTCACCTTCACCCTGCCCTCTCTGTATGACTCATCGCTGAAGTGAATGTACTCTTGGCGGATTTTCTCTGCATACGATTCATAGACTGAGGGAAAAAGAAAAAGGGGAGGTTTTGAAATCACTGTACATTATCATGTAGCGCGCACACACACACGCCCACACACACACACACACGCCCACACACACACACGCCCACACACACACACGCCCACACACACACACACCCACACACACACACACACACACACACTATACTCTCTGTTAGGAATACAAGCCACATAAACTGTATCAGAAGTACTGTAATTGAGAAAACCTAATGGGGAAATGAAGGAGTAATATATACAAAAATTATGTTCTCAATTATGAAAAGCTTTTGCTATATATTGAATCTTAAAAGCAAAACTGTCTAAGTTACAATACTAGCCAAAAATTTGCAAAATTCAACAACCATAAGATTAATTAACATACAACATTGAATGATGATATATTTTCTGAATATACACAATTCTATCTAAAAACACAGAAAAAATTAAGAAGAGTGGTTTTATTACATGTTACAGACAGTAAAAAGTTTCAATCACGATTTTCTAAAAAAAAATGGTAAGTAGGCCTACGCATAAGAAAATATGTTTTTAATGGGTTGACATGTTTTTGTTGTGTATTCTACTTGCGAACAGTCCAAGAACACCAACAACATTAAACATTAATAAATGAAACCACTTCTCGGGTTGTGTTCCAGAGTTTAATATAAAACTTAAACTTTACATGACTGTGGGTTGTGCTGCCGTAGACTAGACATCTTTGTTGTTCTTGTGTATGAGTGTGTGTGTGTGTTACTTTTCTTGCTCTCAACGATACCAATATACTGACCATTAGTGGGTACTTATTATGTTACATTATGATTACTCTACAACAGTTTTAACCTGGCAAAGAAATGTGGGTTACCCTCTGCACTCTGTCCCAATATAGACAGATCAAAGTCCAAGAAGAGACACAGGTCCTGGTCGTCAGGGTTATTGGCCTTGTGGGAAATTGTGGCAGAAATCATCCCGGCGACACGCTCGCTCACAGCATCCGGCTGAAAAAACAACACCAAAGTGTCTTAAAATTATATGTCTGCCCTGTCTCAAGAGCATTTTTTCCTTTTTGATTATAATTCATGAATCAAAACCATGAAATATAAAATGTCGATTTGCGGCAACCCCTCCTCCCCCTTTAAAAAATGTCCACTCCTTGGAAGCAAGTCCTTCCCATGAGGTTTATTTCAAAGAAATGAGGTAGAACAAAGGATTAAACTTCACCAAGACATCTATCAGGGAAAGATATTCAGAAAAATAATTTAGGTGGCGTCGGTGGCTTAGTGGTTAGGCTCTCGGACTCGCAACCGTAAGGTCACGGGTTCGAATCCCATCAGGGACCCGACGTTGTGTCCTTGGGAAAGGCACTTTGCACAAATTTTCCTCACTTCACCCAGGTGGAAATGGGTACCCGGCTATAGACAGTGAAAGATCTTGTCAGTTTGATAGTGTTTGAGCGCGTGAAATCCGCAGCTTGCACTGTATGCTTCCTCGGAAGCTGAGAATGTTTCTGAGTGTTCTCAGAGGGTCTGCTGGGGTAATAATAGTTGTAAAGCGCATAGAGCATGCTCTTGAGCATGGATATGCGCTATATAAATGCAATTATTATTATTATTATTACAAAATAGTGGTAATCCTTGCAATAAATTTTAATGAATTAAATATTCGAGAAGTATATGCTCCCCATATAAGAGGGGGGAGGGATCGATAATGAAAACTCCACAAATAAATTCTGAAGTCCAATGAAATTTCTAATGAAGTAAAAGGATCAGTGTAGTAGTATTTCCTAGAAAAAAGAACTTTAGGGGAAGATCACGCGGCTGTATAAAGAGATTATAGTTCTCAATACAAATGTTGATCTAGTTGTGATTACAGATCTTTTATTTTGCTCATCACATTCGACAGATTGTGCATGAATTTGTTTAAAAGTATGCTGAATTCTGAAAAAAATGGCAGTGTATGTACAAAACTGCAGTCATACCTTTAACATAAATAATGAACTACTCTTAGAAACAACAAAGATTGCCAAAAAAAAATTTTTTTTCACAAAACAAAAACCCAACTTACCAGATTAGCATCCATAGCAAATTTTTGGAATAAGACAATGGACTGCAGCTCATTGTTACCAGATGTAGGGTCGTAGACAATGCTGGAATTTAAAAAATCACAATCATTAAGTAAAATTATGTTACACCTTGCAGGCCCAGTTAGAAATGTTTGATGGAAGGCACAAACAGCCTTTCTCTTTCTACCTAATTTTTATCCACCTTCTGTACTTTCCACATTATTCTCCATAAATTCAAAGGCAAACTATATAGTTCATCGTAAACCTTAAAGTTTAAGCTTTTATGCATGCAGGAACAGCTGATTAAAACCTGCAAATTCTTTGCCATATCGACAGACCGAAGGGCTAAAACATATGGCCGCTGGATCGGAATAGTAAAGTAAAGTATGCATGCAGGAAAATTCTATTAGACTTAAAATGGGAAAATTGAACTGCATAATTAATGTCCTCAGAGCTCTATATGCAAATCTAATACTACTGAAAATCTCATTCCTCGACTAATTCAGCCTCTGACTCCAGTCACCTGTAGTCGCATCCATCTCTAGCTTCATTGCCCTGAACATGAAACAACATTCAAAAAAATAAAATCGGCAAGAGCTGGAGAATCCCTCCTTGAAAAGAAAATCCAAACATTTAATCAAAAGTGTAAATGTGCATTGATTTAACTACTGAGTCTCACTTGTCATACAATGCAGCCTCTTATATATAACGACATCGTCGGGAACAGAAAAAAAAATGTCGCCTACTTAGAGGGTTGTCGTTATAGAGAGGCCACCAAAAATATTAAATGATATAATAAAGAGGAAAAATCGGGACCTGGGCACCATGTCGCTCTATAGAGGATGTCGTTATATCGAAGGTCGTTATAAAGAGGCTGCACTGTATGCATAGAGTATGAAGATCATCTTCCTTTACTTTCGTTTCGTTTTAGTAGAGGTTTTATGGCGCTCGCAACTGCATAAGGTCATATGAGCGCCAGAAGATTAGAGGTGTCACAAGAGAGTAACAAACATAAAAAAAAAAAAGGGGAGATAAGGACGATAGATGATTGATAGGAAAGAAGGAGCAAACCACACCAGAGCACCTGTCAACCACCCACAGGGATAGTTCCTTTACTACAAGAACTTACTCATGGAAAAAAATGGCGAGGCAGACAGTGTGTAAATCAGCGATACATTCCTTCCACTGCTGGTACAGGCACAACATCTGCTGGACGTGGCTCATGGTGTGGTAGAACCGCCATTTTTCCCCGTACCGACGCACGATGATTCGCCACCAGTTCTCTCGTGTAGATGAAGAAACTCGGAAATGTTCTGTCACATTTTTCCACTGCTCGTACACAAACTGAATGCCTCTGTTTTTGGCATCAGTCTGGTCTCCCTCCATGTCTCACACAAATCTGAAGAGAACAAATGATTTGTTCAAAATCTGCCTACGAAGAAATAATTTCATTCAAAATCTGTTACAGTAAAGTCGAACCAAATCTGGAGGTCAAAATCCATTAAATGACTTTGTGTGGTCTTAGTTTAGCACCACACTGTCACATGATTGCCTCCCTGTGGAATTTTGAGGCTTGTATCACAGGAGTGAATATGAATGAATGAATGAGTGAAAAGTAGGCACTTGGACTTGGTGCAATATCTCTTATTCGTTAATCATTAGTTAGGCCTACTGTGTATGTAAATTTAATCCTCGTCTATTGGTTAACTATAACAGCATTCTGCTATAATAACCAGGGCTATCCGCTGCAGTGGTCCTAGACTCATACTCTTGTAGTACTCAACTATCTAGTAGTGTAGTGTAAATCCTGTACTGTTGTTGATTGTCGGGGAACGCTGTCCGCTGTTGACGTTGACTGTTGTTATTGCAAAAGCACCTTACAGTACACAAAACCCAAGTTGCCAGCCCTCGTTTAAGAAAAAGCAGGCATTTAAACAGAGATATCAGAAGACTCAATACATCATATAGATCTAATGATGTACTTCTCATTTACCGAACCAGTTTCGTTTTCTCTGTGTACTTTGACCACTGTCCACTTTGTTTCAGAAGCTATGGTAGAAGTTGTAGTCTTGTAGTTCAAGCAGCTAAAAAAGACGCTAAAACTGTCGACTCCGTATCGTAGTTACGCTGTGTGATGTGTCCCGTCGTCTCTTGTCCCCGCCACCTTCCCTCGTTTGTTTTTTACCATCGCCTTCTCTATCTCTTCATTCTGTGTAGTTCACCCCCCCCTCCAAAATCAACCCATATTGTTTACGCATTTCTCAACACGTCCAAGGTTATAAACAATTCCTGTAAAATGATTGTATTTCATTACAAAATTCAGGAAAAAATTTAGTTGTATTATTTGTATAATACAAAATCAATCTTAATAGTTTATCTAAAAAAAGTGACAACGAAACCCACTCAATATAATTTTAAGCCATATAACTAAAAAATTCCCTCTTTCTCTTTTTTTTTCATTGACATATGGTTCAATTACGGTTTAAGTTTAAGATTGCTATGAACTCACTCCTCAAGTACAATTAGGGCCTATGTGAATGTTTTGCTATCCCCGTCGTTTTACGCAAGAAAAATTCTGAAATTATGCAAACTGAGCCCAAAAAATGTGAAATTATGCGATTCTGTTTATTTTAACAAAGAATGATAAAGGAAAATAATCAGAAATTATGCAAAAAATGATCAAACTTTGCTAAATTAGGCGGAGTGCATAAAACCACGGGGACAGGTTTTGTCTGTATCGTCGGGCCCGGTGTACGGATCGCCCCCCGCTGGCCTCAAGTCCCAGTTCGTGAACTTGCTGTGTTTCTCAGGAGGTCAAAAATCGCTGTCTTTTCTTGTCTTGTATTTGGAAGGTCCCATTGATCTCTTGGTCTACTTTGTTGCTTTCTTGCAGCTTCTAAGTAAGAATAGATTCTGACCTAGTTTTGCAATGATGGGTTTTTTGCACTGTTGTTTTCTTTTCTCTAAATAAAATCGAGAGCAATATGTTTTTGTGAATGAAGGCAGGATATTTTGTGCAAACTATTCCATTTTGCCTTTGGCTGTTTATTTATTGCAGGCAGCTTCAGTGGGTGTTCACGCAAGCCTTTATTTTTATTTAAGTTTTATTGATAATTTCTGGCTTTTCGTTTAATTCTTAGATGGAATGGTGGGGTCGTTTGGTGGAATTCTTACTCTAAAATTTTATTGAGACTATTCTCAAATTAAATGAGGAAAATTATTTATTTTTAATTAAAAGTAATTTACCATCAAAATCAATGATCGTTTTAGTAGGAGAAACTGTTGAATTTGTTGCAAACTCAATGTACACATAATAACAAAATTATCTAGATCTAATCATAATATTGATCTAAAATCTAGATCTAGATCTGATTGTCTATGACATTCTGTGCATTGGATTCAAATTGCAACGGAAACGAGATGCTGTCAGTTCCAGTACTTCCTTATATTTTTGGCAGTATGACTGCACATACATACAATGAAAGTTTTAAAAAATAGATCTAATGCACACATCCTTTTCATATCTAGCTCGGATCTCTTACAGAGAAGCAGAACAAGATCGGTCAGGATGGGCAGTTTTCTTGGAAAAACGATGGACGAGAACTTGAAAAAAAATCAGGAGTTCATGCTGAAAGCACAACAGTTGCAAGTGAGTTTTTCATTATATTATAAATTTTTGTGCAAGAGTAGGCTACATTTTTCCTTCATTTCAGTGACATCTTTATGGATATTGTACTTTTTCTTATTATATACAAACATTTTCTGTAAAATATACTGTTGCTTGCACCCCATATTATAGATAATCACTTTGTGATTGTTTGCTATTGGATTTTTAGATCATCTGTCTTGTGTGTGAAGTGAAAGTGCCGTATATTCAGGATTATACGAGATATAATTTGCGTAAGCCGTTTCTGTTTTCAGACTACATTACATGTGCACAAAAAATATTCTAGTCTCCGGTAACACTTCCCCCCTGCGTCCCTCACACAAACTAGTGGTATATATTTCACTGCCTTGAATACCTCGCCTTCTCTCTGTTGTCCTTTTTCCCCACTCTTCTTCTCCTTCTCGATCGCATCACACTTGAAATCTGGTATCTATAATCTACTGGGCTGTCCTGCTGAGTTCATCTGTCGGCCCGTACAGCTTCTCTTGTAGTGTCAGTGGGGTTGGCCACGTTTCCTGTCTCAGGGCCCTGTGTGTCCTGCAGTGCTGAAGGCTGAAGGATGTGTTCCACAGTTTGGTCCGCCTCTATCCACACTGGCATTTTGGTGATTGTACTAGTTTTAAACATCTGTACATGTGTTTTTCTCCCCAACATCAATGGTTTCCCGTGTCCCTATCAGATGGAGAGACAGCTCGCAATGCAGAATGAGATGAGGGAACGGCAGATGGCGATGATGATTGCACGTTCCAGGGACTTCTTCTGGTACTGGATGACCTTTAACACTCTGGCTACTGTTGGGCTGACAGCTGGGTGAGTACTCAGTTGTCTTGAGATTGAGAGTCTTGGTAGTAGAGTAGTTATTAACTCACTTGAGAATATTCCTGTATATTTACGGGTAGGGCCGCTAGCCGGGTGATCTAATTTCGTGTAAATTTACAGGATGTGCTTCATCGATTGATATCTCCAGTGTTTTTCGGCTACAAATTAGGGGAAGTGGGAAATAATAGCTGACTCACTTGTTTCATTTCTTAAAAAATTTGGTGAGGTTATATGCGATAGTTTTTTAGCAGTAATTACGGACTAAGTCAGTCATCTTCGCTTTGCGGTAGATGGTTTTTAGTATAAGTTGGGCGCAAATAAAAAATTACATAACTCTCAGACTTTGTCATTTCAATTTCAATTTTAAATTTGTTTCTCTCAAGGGGTCACTACAGACTCAACTCATACATAATTTGGGTTAGTTTTTCCCTCAAGGGAATCGTATTCCGCAACCACGACAAACAGTTCTTGTTCTTCTCCTCCCAGAGCTCTCCGCACAAGGAGGTGGGGACTCCTGGCTCCTCTCGTGCCTCTGGGGATTGTAACAACCTACCAGTGGGATCTGGCCTACGGGCCAAAGATCGAGAGAATGAGAGGTTAGTTTTATTATAAATTTGTGTTGGTTGTGAGTGTTTGATAAAAAGTAAGTATTTTCCACTTTTTGCTTGACATTTTGAACAGAAATGTCTCTTTTCTTTTTCAAGAGTTGCTTCTGTTCCTTGTTGCCTACTTGTACCAACATAAAAATACGACCTGAAGCTGTCAGGACGCTTCCAGCCATTGGTAAGTCTATATATATGAGATTATGCGCCTCGAAAAGTGTATCGGATGGATACTGATAGCGATGAATAAAAATGTAATACAATTTCCACAAACATTGTATTTTTATAGTATACAGTACGCAATAATGATAATGACGATACAGATAATTTCTATAGCGCCCACTCCCTTACAATATAAGCTATAGGCGCTCTACAACACCTTCATCTCAACACAAAACACAACTGAATGAACATGCATATGTACACTGCAGATTAATGCTAACACATTGGCAGACATTCGTACTATCCCAGCAGAATCAATGAGGATATGCACCTCGCATATAATATCATCAGTAATATCGCAAGACTTATGAGAAATAAAACTTTTGATTCAACATTAAGACTGTATGAATGAGCAGTTGTGAGAGGATCTTATGAGGAACAGCAAGTTGGCTTTTCAGCCTCCTCTCGAAATATATGATATTTACTTGTTATTTCATGTAGCACGCAAGATCTTGTGGTCACTGCGGTGTGTCCTTGAGCAAGACACGGCAATCCTGGTTTGTTTGTTTTAAATTGCTGCACAGTGGTGACCAGCAATGGCATGTTTGTGAAATTGTTCTGTATTGCTATATATGTATGTATGTAGGCCTATATATATGTATTTATAATCATGTTTTTATTTATGTGTATATGTTTGCCGTTGTTTGTAACCCAAATTTCCCCACAGGGATCAACAAAATGTTATTTATTTTTTCATTTATTCATTTAAAATTTAACTAGTGAAAACTAAAAGGCTCTATTTTTGTTTTTGTGGCTTCCCCAGAAATGGCGGACAGAATTCTGGATGAGGAAGCTGGATTGTTGGATTTGCCGCATGGGATGCCGACGTTCGCATCTGTCGAGTCGGCCAGACTGAAGCAAAAGTCGGACGAACCGTACAAGCCAGGTCATGACATCTTCCTGTGAACGCTTCCTGGGGATCCAGTTGCCTTATACTTATTTATCTCACTCGAAAAGTTCATATCATCATTCATTTCTGTAGCTTTCACTTTCAGCATTCTTGGACACCAAAGTTTTCAGTATTGTGAAGATTTTAATGTCATGATATTCAGACTTGTTGTTTTGTGATAGACATTATACATGTATAAATGATGAACTGTAGTGAGTTTGTAGATACATTTATATATATTTATAAGTAGAATATATACCCTATACAAAAGTTAATTGTTTTGAAAATACCATCTAGCACGCACGTAGTGAAATGGCTATCGTCAAAGAGAGTAAATAACAAGATGGGCCACTCAGCCAAAAAAGTGTCCGCAGGAAGTATGCTCTTTGCTTCAGATGGCGCTGCAGTCTGTTTTGAAGCTCTCTTTCGTTTTTCCAGAAGAAGAATAGGAATAGCACCATAGCACCTCCTTGCGTGCGCAGATCGACTTCTGTTCATCAGCAGTTCGGGTTCGTTCAGTTTGGAGTTTTAGTTGTTTTTTATTTTAATGACCTCTAGCCTTTCATTCTTAAGTCAAATTAAACGAAGAAAACAATCACCCTTTCCTCCGGAAGAGGTTTTTTGTCAGCGTAACCATTTAAAAAAAGCGTTCTTCCGAAATTCATTCAAAAACTTGCTAGTTTCACTTTGATTTTTTAAACTCAAGTAGGATAACTCTGTTCACAAAAGGTGCGCTTTTGCGAAGAGGGTGCCACCGAATTTTGAGGACACTTTTTTAATTGGCTCAAAGAGAGAAGTGGCCCCTCTTGTTATGTAGACTCTTTGCTATGGTGAAGGAATTGTTCACGCTATGTTGGTGTTTCGAATACAGCGCCCAAACCTAAATCTGCAGAACTGCTAGATTTTCTTTGGTTTAACTGGGTTTTTGATTTAGAGAGGTTGCTTAAATAGAGGGGGGGGGGGGGGGGGGATTGGTGATTCAAACATTTTCTTTCAGCTTATTGCTGTTTTCGGATTAACCTTGTTCAGTGGACTCCACTGTGTATGAAAAAACAATTCAGGACCTGAAAATCTGTTCACTGAGGGCGTTTTTTGCTATGTGCGTGGTAGACTGAAATATGTTATTATGCAGATAAAAATAGTGTATCTTGCATTTCCTTTCGCTCAAGATTCTTGTCATTTTACATTGCTTTATAATTTATAATGAAAATATTTTAAAAATATACCTTTTACAAATATGAAATAACCATTTGTCTTTTTGACCAGAACGTGCACCATTTTTTGTTCAGTGCATTCTCTTGAAGTAAAACTTATACAAATGACATTGATGCCAGTCAGTCCCAAGACCTTCCTTAGGTGCTTCCTGTATCTGGATTTGCTTTACTAAAGTTGTTCTTGTGCTTTTTTAGCTTGAAAAGGGTCAGTAGACATATATAGAAATAGATGTCAGTGTTCGATGTTGAGTGTCTGATTTTCATTTTGAGACTGGGGAAAAGTGTGCTGGCTGTGATCTAATTGCAGTCAATTAAATTGAAATAGTCGTGATCATGTTATTCAACAGTCGATGAAATAGTCGTGATTATGTTGTTGAGCAGTCGATGAAAGTCATGATCAGGATTAAATAGTCTTGAGAGCTGTCGATTAAATACCCATGATCATGTTGTTAAGCAGCTTTCATGTTTATCACCCATCTCTCAAAGTGTCGTCGACATCAGGTTATCAAACAGGCTTACAATACAAGCCCCGGTGGTCGCAAGCCAAGGTCACACAGTACAGTTTGCATTTGCTCGTGTCGAGACATCACGTTCTTACAAAACAGTTTATCGACACTTAAAGTTTAATCAATATGTTTACACATAATGCACACGTAGTACAACATACAAGAACAAACTGCTGTGTATTGTTCTGATCAAACCTCCAGACCATAACCATAAGTAGAACGGAAAGGAATGGCAATGTCTGTCCCCGTGGTTTTATGCACCCTGCATAATTTAGCAAAATTTGATCATTTTTTTCATAATTTCTGATTATTTTTCTTTATTATTCATTGTTAAAATTAACAGAATCGCATAATTTCACATTTTAGTGCTCAATTTGCGTAATTTCAGAATTTTTCTTGGATAAAACGACAGGGACAGCTATGTGATATTCTATAATAATATAATAGTGTAGTGTTTTGTGTCCAGCATAAAATTTGGCTGAGTTGTTGTGATTGTTGTAACTCTTGTTATTTAGTCAGTATAGTTTATTATACACTATAGTAATCTTTTCCATCAGTTGTGACTATTTTGTTGTCTACTTCCTCTGCCTCAGGGTCAAGGACGGCTGATGTGTTACTGAGTGTTACTGTGTTCTTGGAAGCCTTTGTCCTTAGTGTCAAAATGGAATATTGTTGGAGATGAAAACGTGGGTCTCTGTTCAGAGTCTTGTCTTGTCCTGTGACTTTCACAGTAGTAGTAGTAGTAGTAGTAGTAGAATGAAGTACGGCTGTGGTCAGGCTAGTCGCCTATCAGCCGTTTGTTGCTTTCGTTGCTTGTTCCTTCCTGCTCGTTGTTATGGCAGATGGGCCATTTACGCTTGAGGGCATGATGACAGACAGAGGTGTAGTGTAATCTACATTATACTTTATTGTTGAATTTGTTGTTATTTCTGTGTGCTTCCTGCTTTATATACCGGTATCTGAATTGTTGACCGGTCTGGTCTGCTTGTTTTGTGCCAGGTCAAGGGTTAGACTAGAGGACTGTGGGCTTGTCCTGGTTCATAGTTGTTGTACGTGTGGTGGCATTAAAGGTTAGTTCTCCCCCCCCCCCCGGGGCAATGCCACTGACTGAAGTGTCTTTACGCCATTCCCAAAGGGGGGGGGGAGCATTTCTCGTTCAAGCACAGTAGAATTGTAAATGGGCTGATTCGTGTCATGCTCATAACTGTGCCTGATCTACAACAGGGAACTGCTGCTTCTTCTTTCCTAATCCTTACTATTGTCATTTTCCTCTACTTCTTTTGTATGTCTGTCACACTCTTGGGGCCTGCTATTTTTGGGGTGCCTTGATAGTCGAAGCAGACTGTGCTGTTGAAGCTAGAGAGGTGAGCAGAGTAAGTCTGGTTCCCTGTAAAGATTTCTCTGTTGACACCCACCGGTGCAAGTGCCGTAAAACCCTCTACTAAAAAAAAAAAAAAAAAAAAAGGTTAGTTGTCCTGTCCCACTGGTTTTATGCACCCCGCATAATTTAGCAAAATTTGATCATTTTTGGCATAATTATTGATTATTTTCCTGTATCATTCTTTGTTAAAATTAACAGAATCGCATAATTTCACATTTTTGGGCTCGGTTTGCATAATTTCAGAATTTTTCTTGCATAAAACGGCGGGGACAGGTTGTTAGGTCACTAGGTAGATTTGTGAGACAACAAGATACCGCTCTTTTCATTCTCCAAACTGTGAGCTTAAATCTGACTGTTGTTATATATATATATTATATATAAATGTTTAATTAATTTTTTTTCTCTTGCTCTGCCTTCAAATTGTGACAACTTATGTGACATGTCTTTACCCATATAGACATATTATATTAAGCTTATATGCTTTGTGATAGCTCACCCTTACTCCTTCACCTGTAATGGAATATATATATGTCCTCTTTCTCTTGACTTTTTAACAAAGTTTTGTGATTTTTATCATTTTTGCCACATAAAGTACAGTGTGGATTTGTTTTTGATCTCCTTATTATTTGACTGATGTTCATTGTTCATGTTATTATTCAATTTAGATTTTCTTCTTCCATGATTGTTTTTGTAATATTTAGAAAAAGATTTTTATTATATATATAATATAAATATTTGCTCCAGAAAAATAGATTTATGACTGACAGCAGTATGAGAGGTAGCTTAGTCCAAGCAATATAAAAGTCAGAAGTAATTTTTTTATCTTATAATAAATTACCAGTACTTCAAAATTTCGTTGAGTTTGTTCTATTATAAAATAACACAAAAAAGTTAATCTTATGCATTGTATAACTTTAAGTCTAATTTTTACGCTTTCACTTCATTTCTTCTTCGGCTTCTTTTTTTTTTTACCCACAGAGCTTCTGCTGTTGTGCATGTAAAACTTTTAAGGAAAGGATTACAGTCTAGCTTGCGTGTAGCGAACCGGCACAAAGCCAAACACATATATGTAGAATGTATGTAGATTTTTAGGTCCTGAATTTTTTCATACACATAGCATAGGTGTATCCTTTGTATTTAATGAAAACATGACCGGTACCTAGTGAAATTCGTACCTAATGAAAAGATTTCGCATTTTTGCTGATTCCGTTACGTGCATGCTAGACTGTAGGAAGTCTTGTGTCCTTTCAAACCAATAGCTCACGTGTCTCCCAAAAGACTCCCTTGGGCTGCCTCTGTATGTCTGTCCCCGCGGTTTTGTGCAAAAAAAATTCTGAAATTATGCAAACTGAGCCCAAAAATGTGAAATTATGCGATTCTGTTAATTTTAAAAAGAATAATAAAGGAAAATAATCAGAAATTATGCCAAAGATGATCAAATTTTGCTAAATTATGCGGGGTGCATAAAACTCCAGGGACAGGTACGTACTACATGATGTACTTCATCCTCCCATCTACGGTACCCTATACAGGTTTCCAAAGAACTGAGAAAACTACAAGGTCCAACACGATACTCTGCATCCCAATAACCCCAATGTTATTCTGTCCCCGCGGTTTTATGCACCCCGCATAATTTAGCAAAATTTGATGATTTTTTTCATAAAATTTTTGATTATTTTCCTGTATCATTCTTTGTTAAAATTAACAGAATCCCATAATTTCACATATTTGGGCTCAGTTTGCATAATTTCAGAATTTTTCTTGCATAAAACGACAGGGACAGCCCTATACGGGTTTCCAAAGAATTGAGAAAACTACAAGGTTCAACATATCCTCATTGACCTGGAACCGAGCCAACGATACTATGCCTCCCAATAATCCCAATGATATTATTAGAGTAAAGACAGCAATCAAAAGCAGAAAGACAGTAGGATTTACTACAACTACTGCGACATCTTCCGATCACAAGAAAACTTAAAATGGACCAACTGAAAATTATTAGAATACTCAAGCTTCATTTGTATACACCTGTATGGTTGTCCCCGTGGTTTTATGCACCCTGCAAATTTAGCAAAATTTGATCATTTTTTGCATAATTTCTGATTATTTTCCTTTACCATTCTTTGTTAAAATGAACAGAATCCCATAATTTCACATTTTTGGGCTCAGTTTGCATAATTTCAGAATTTTTCTCGCATAAAATGACGGGGACAGGTATGGAAAGACACTATTTTAATTTATGCCGCCTGCAAGAAAAGTTCACATGTACAAGGGAAGACAAGACAGACGTTATTGTTTGAATACCTAAACATTTATTAACGGAATGCAAGTAGGGACAGGTTATGTTATAATATTATACTGTACAGGCTATCACAAAGAACATTTTGTTTTTTTCAACTCGTGCACAACACCCGCACACAAAACGTGGGCAGTTTTATACTCACAGATTCTCTACTCGAGGGTAGTATTGCATACAGACGTAAGTCAATTTTGGTGGCCATTGAGATACGTCTGGATGCAATACAGCCCGTGTAGGTACTGCACTTACACGATACCTGTAGGGTCTACATACTCGTCTGAAGAACATAAACTACAAATGTCTCACTCACATTAATATCTTGGCGCATAATTGCCACTCTCAGCAGTGTCAAATGTGTATACGTTAATATACATGTATTTCTCACACACCCTATACATTGTCAGTCACAGATATACCAGTATCTACAATCCAATCAGTGATGTTCAGCTAACATTTCATAGTCTTAAAAAGGTTTTCCATTCTCAAAGAAATCAGGAAATCATAGTTGGAAAAGCTTAACCACTGACATAAATTCAGAAAATCAAATTTTGACACTGAGTGGAAAACAATAGTGGGGCAGCAAGGTGAAATCAGGCGCTCATCAAAATAAGGAAAGTCAAGAAATTGGCATTTTTCCGCAGGTTTGGGAATTTTAATCTAATTTTAGGTTTTTTGAAAATCACCTTTCATGCTCATTAAAGAACACATTTCTGTGTGTATTTTACTGAAAAACGTTGATTAAACTTTAATTAAAGGCATAGAAGATGTAAGTTTTCAGTTTCCATGGCCTCTCTAGCTAAGGAAATAACTCAACTTTGGCGGCCATTTTATTTTGTGTCTTTAATCAATGTTTTTAAGGGGAGGTGGCTAATGAAAATGCCAAAACTCAGTTCCAACCATTTTGTAGCCACTTTGTATGCATCAATGGATACATACACTTTTAAAAAGAGGTTTTGTGAAATAAAAAATTCATTTTTTATTTTTTTGTTCTTGTGGCGGCAAAAAATGGCGCTGATTCAGCAAAATTTCTTTACGTTTTATAAACAGTGTTTCTACAAAACCAATAAAGATAGAAGCTTCACACTTGGTATATATGTTATATATTGCTTGCTTCTCCTCTTTACAGAATCAGATTTCAAATATCTATCATACATTTTCCAAATTTTACCCTCACTTTGACCAATGTTCAGAATTCCATATTAGGCGATGCTGAAACGCAAAAATGCCAAATAACTCAAAACAGAATCAATATTCAGGAAAAGTGCTCTTGTAAGGAGGAGGGCACTTATCTTGGGAATAATGTGTGAAAATTTCAATGAAATCTGCCTGTTAGTTATTGAGATACACTTTCTATAAAGTTACCAGTTAGCCGAAAATGCAATTTCGAGAAAAACGCAAACAAAGTTTTCAAAACATTGTGCAATCACAAACATCTCGGTTTTCACTAAAATCCAACATTATTCGGCAACATACATCACGTTTACACAGCATAGGCTATTTAAAAAGCTTTTTTGACAAGTTTTTACATCAATTCCATGCCCCCCCCCCCCCAACTGTCCTCTCACAATTGAATCTCCGCCCCAAGAACGTAAACTCTCATTTGTCTTTCAGTTTCTGTTCTTAAATGGGAGAAGAAGCTAAAATATCTATGTAAGGTAATAGGACATTCTAGGGCTTGTGTGAAAATTTCAACCAACTCTGACTGTAACTTTCTGAGGTCTAATCAAAATAGTGCAGCAGATTTGGCAGAAAAGTTATTCCGAGAAAAACGCGAATAAAAATTTTGCATGCTGACATGCCCGTCTAAATATATATGTTAATGTTGCCATACTGAATTGTTTAGGTAAATTGAGTTTGTTGTTAGTCTTTTCCACATTAAGAAATCTTTAAATGATTTGGCAGATGACTGCCTTTCTTAGAATTAGAAGAGTCGAGACTTTGTCGAGCCAAAAAAAAAAAAGCTGCTACCTCCCCTTCATTTTCTTCCCATGTGTTTTGGTTTTGCAATGGTGGAATCTAAGACTATGCAACCAAGAAAGGCACACTGTAAGCTGGCACTACATGATACTATCTAGATCTATATCTGTATATTTTCTCAATTTGTTTTATCCCTACTATCTATATATTTCTGCAGTCGCTTCTTTCAATCTTGCTTGAAGGGGTTAACTGGCTTTGGGAACACTGGTCTCCGATTTTTAAAAAACCCAATAATAATAAAGTAAACATATTGTTTTAAATAACACTAGGCCTTAGAGATTTCTATTGCTATATCTACGCTAAACAGACTTGTTCACTGCGAACAACCGAAGAGGCTAGGGAAGCCATCAAAACAAATGTATCCTAGATCTAGATCTAGATTCCTATAACTTTGTCGATCGAGCGCAACGTAGATCTGTAGATCTATACTTTGAATACCCCAGCCACATAATCATGGAAAGTACTGAAGGCTATTATGTATTATACGTATAATCTCAACAGTTTAGATCCTGGATTAGCTCACTCAAAACGACTAAGACTAAGAAGACATCGAATCGAATCACGATCAGATAGACAGACGAGAGAAGACGAATAAGAAGGAGCATGTGTTCGGTAGGCCTTGTCGGGCCGAAATACTACACAGAATTGCAAATGGAGATGGTAACAATAATTATTCAGCCTGTAAACAAGATTTATTAGCGTTGAAATCGGCAACACGATAGAAAACTCTTTGAAATGCAGCGAAAACGTTCACGTTCTGTCTTGCGGCACGCAGTGTAAACAATGGCCCGCGAGGGGAATCCCCTTCGTTGCTACCGGCTCGGCGAATGAAAATTCACGGTCCGGTCACGTGACGGAAGTGGCCAACCGGTATTTGGTACGGGGTCTTCAAACATACCTAAATGGGTCCCCAGAGTAGTTCCGTACGAAAACGAAAGTGCACTAATCGAATAGCTCTTATCACGGCCTTTCCAACGATACCAAACTTGATTACCTTGCAGCCACGGAGAGTGTTGTTGTCAAGGGGTAAAGTTTAACATTTCTTGACGTTTTGTTTGCATTTTTTTGCCCCCCCTACCGCTTTCAAATACATTTTTATATATATTAGAGGTCTCCTTAGGTTTTGGGACCTTCACAAACGGATTCTTGACATATTTTTCTGTAAGAATATCCAAATACTCGAAGTTCCATTTTTTTTTAGCAAATACCCGATTTTCTAGGGGATCGAGACCCGCGGATCCCCTTAAGCAAAATTAACCTGGAAATTTGTTTTATCTATTATCTATTTGTGGTGGCCGAATTTTGCTACTCAAAAGGCTTTTTAATGGCTGCATCGATCGACATGCGGTTTTCACCAAAAGATTCTTTTAAATATTCTCCAGATCTTGACTTCCTTCGTTTTTTCAGTTTTGAGACAATTTTGCTGCAAATGGCTAAATTTCTTTATTTCGCCGATCGTTTTTAGGCCGACGCCTCTGTCTCTGTAATTTTAGAAAATCCGGTGCGGAAGTGACATTTTGCGAGAAGAAATTTGTTTTGAGAGCATAGATCTAGATCTAATCTAGACCTTCTAAAGTTTTTGCATCTCTCAAGATTTATTGCTCAATTCCAGTAGAGTATAAATATAGTAGGCCAATGACTTTCAGTTGATGTTAATGCACCGATCATTTCTTTCATCGAAAGGGGGCCCAGCTAGTACGAACATAAAAGAGGTTGAGCCCTAAAATAAAAATTCGATAAAACTTCCCAAACTTTGGGGAAAATGCCTGTTTCTCCGATTTCTGTATTTTGACGAGCGCCTCATTTCACCCCGCTGCCTCACATATGCTTTCTGAAGTGGGCGTCCAACATGGTCTACGGCTGCACTGTCCTCATCACCGAGACGACACAGGGAGGAAAAACTAAGGGTGCTCCCGAGTTCCAAAAATAGTCAGTCACCCATCTGCGCCGTCTCCCAGGAACATTTTGCAGTCAAACTGAAATGAACCAAAAGTCAACGATTAGAGGAGTGGTCATTGTAACAGACCAGAGTCAATTTTTTCCCTGGTATAACAATGAAGAGATCATGGTCTCTGCTTGTTCTTGATGCAGTCAACATCCTGGTGTCTCTAGGGCATGTCCTTTTTTTTTTTGGTACGTGTTTTACGGCGTTCGCAACTGCATAAGGTCATCTGAGCGCGCATGGTCATGTCCTTTTTTTTTTTGGTACGTGTTTTATGGCGCTTGCAACTGCATAAGGTCATCTGAGCGTGCATGGTCATGTCCACAGCAACTGTGTGTTGCAGGTCAAAATTTTTAAAAAATTGAAAGAAATACAGTCGAACTTTCTCTGACAGCCAACTGTCCAAGACAATCATCTATACAAAGGACCTCTTTCCCGTATGTCGTGTTATACTATCGTATTCATGATAGTCAATAAAATTTGACACATCTTTGTTGCTGAAACTTGACACTCTGCTGAAAACAAATAGAAGGTCATTTTAAAACAAAAGCAGAATCAAATTGACAAGAAATTTATTGGAAGCCTAGATCAGCGCCGCGCACACATGACAGCCGAAGAGAACAAGTCACGATATTTCGCCTGTGAACACAACACATACCACTAAACTCCTACCTTAATAGGATCCGCAAGGAT